AAAAATCACCAATAGGGGACGTATGATAGCTAAATCGTCTCGATAGTAGAGAGAAAAATTTAGAGCCTTATAGTAAAAAAAGTTTTAAAGTAAAAATCAATTTTTCATTATTTTAAAAAGCTCATCTGTAATTAATTGTAATGCAATCAAAAATTAAAGTAATTTTTGGTTAAAAAACATATTAAATGACGTACAAATTTTGTAAAAAATAAATGAAAATTAAACAACTACTAGAAATTCAAACTTCAATTATATTATTGGGTTTTTTTTATTAATATATAGTCTGATATGGTCATATATGACAAGATCAACTCATATCAGGCCTGATAAAAAAATTGAGCATGTAAGAAAATTTTTTCATGTGATAGCTTGACTAATCGAAAGAAAATTAATCATACTAATAGAACTACATTATTAAAAACAAATTTTTGTTGTTTTCGACTCATCCTGATGGTATATTGTGTAACTGTGTAGCTGATAGAATCGTGATGTATAAGGATGAAGATGATTCGTCTGTGGAGCACTTGGATGTACCCGAGTAACAACTTACACAAATTGGCTACCACGACTCTCGTGTCGCACGTCCCGGTAATTTTGTTTCGCCGCTTTGATCCTGAAGCTCCTCCAGTATCTACCATCCAGCTCGTCCTTAGACGGACGCAGAGCATCTCGGGAAAATTGCCTCATCGAAGTTGATACCATGTCGGTCGTTATGTAAATCCATATAGAATAACTATTACATCTTCTATACGGCTGCATGGATGTTAAACAATTAAATATTTATGGAAGTTATTCCTAAACCAACAGCCCCTTGGCCTTATAAGTTCTGTAAGCTCCAAGTCCAAGGACTCCTCTGTGTGTGTACTGTTATGAGTGTTGTTGTGTGTGTATATGACGTGACGCCAGTTGGGAAAAATAATCGTACAGTGTAATGAAAAAAATAAAAGGAAAATCACCGGGCTGATGACGCGGCGGTATTTTCACTTCAACATGGCTTTTATTTTTTTCTCGTTAGCCCTGTCGTTAGGAAGTATAATGTGATACTAATATATGAGAGAAGAGAAGAGATATTAGTAGAAGTAGAGGTATTAGTCGTACTTGGTGTTGTATAGAGTAACCGCGCCCACACATCAGACGCGTTATTAATTGTGCCGTGACGAAAGTTTGATTCGGGTCACGCAATAATCTACTGTACGTCCATCTGTGATATAATTGTGATTAGACTCTCTCGTATTATTTAAAAAAAAAATTTTTCTTTTAAACTACAACAAAATTTTATAGATTTTTTAAAAATAAATTTCTGCATAAAAAACTTTTTATCCAAACAAAAAATAAATGATTTATCTTTTATGATAAACAAAATAATTCGTTTAGTGTTTTCTCAGCGCGAAGTCTATTATTAATAAAAGCCGGGAGTTGATCAGATGAGATTGATGCAGTTGGTCAAAAAAACAAATGGAGAATATTCCATCAGCAATAACAATTGGCTAGAATTGAAGTCAAAGTGAATGTGCGTTTTATATAATATTATTGTAACTCTATATACGTGATATCAGAGCTGTCAATTGAATTGCGCACTTGTATAAATTAATATAAAAAGTAATATAAATGAAGAGTGCAAGTCACTTGGGAATCGTTTAACGCAGGATAGGAGAGGAGGCACTGCAGTGACATTACAAAAAAGTCACGGAGCTTTTCAGCCGGATATCATTCAATTACCCGTTTATGTGATATAAGCTAAGCATTATGGTGGATGGGCAATTCCTGGTATGCGGAGTCAGCGTCGCGTCGTTCGCCGCAGCACATGCCAAGTGATTAATCCACGTCAACCACAGACCTCGAGATTATCGACATCTCTCAACTCAACTCAACTCGACTCGTCTTTCATTGTTACTTATACTTAACTGTTTTGTTCTTACGTCTACTTGGACTTCACTCTTATTCGCATCTAATCCTCCGCTCGTGTCCTATCCTGCTCCTGGTCTATCTATCTCCAATTTTGGTCATTTGCTAGCAGCCCGGGCGAGAGGAAAAAATTCAGACAAAAGTAATTACCAAGCCCTGATCCTTTCCGATCGCTACAAACGAGTAGGGTCCAGCTAGCCGCCTTCGACTTAAGGGCAAAGACGGTAATTATCGCCTGGGAAATTTAACAACTGGAGTACTATATGTCTTCTGTCTTTTTCCCATTCTATGACGCTTTGTTAGACGATATATTTTTGTGGTAAATTATCGCCAACGGACTAGAAATTTTATGTAAGTTCTAAGAAAAACAAGATAGTAATTAAATAATTTTTTATTCCTTCCTAAGATTTTAAATTCATAAAAAAAGTCTTTAAAAGCATTATTAAGGGTATATGTACTTACAAAATTTTTTTACTAAAATAATAGACAAAAAAAAAAAGTTGTATGTGAAGGTTGGAAAAATTTTTATGTAAAAAAATTAAAAAATTGAATATCTAAAAGTGAATAATACTTAAAAAAAGAAATGATAAAATGGGACAACAGCGATAAATATCATCAGCATTAGCCTTATATTACAAAAATAGTGTATGAATCTCCAGCATATCTCATTTCCGTGAGCACACTTAACGTAGAGGTATCCTATCCGTTGTTGGAAGTAGCAATATATCGGTCCTGCTATCGCGAGTCCAAGTCTTAAGTCTAGATGCTTTCAGTAGGCTAAGAAAAAAACAATAAATAAAATAGACAAGACGATGCAGAATAAGATGGGAGATGAGTGGTCGGTCTCTCTCGGCGGGTACGACAAGGAGTTATGATATCAGCGGCGATCGGCGTGCCAAGTGAAAACACGGTGGCGTGAGTAATATACTCAGGATGGGAGGATAGGAGTGAACAGTGAGGTTTCATCTTAGCTCTTAGGAGAAGGACCGTCAGAGAAGACCAGAGCGTCAGTGGGCACACATCATGATAATAGACAATACTTGGAGGGGATCGGGCATAAAATGATCCGAGCGAGATGGTATCAGCCCCGTCCTCCCAACCCTGAGGAAAGGAGCGAGAGGGTCAAGGTGATGCGATCCCGGAGCAGTCATCGTCCCCCGTAAATAAAGAGAACCTCGTCTTATAACTTGTAAGTATGAGTAGCGAGCTACCAGCCACCGGATTCCCATTCTCATTCTCCATCTTGATATTTTTCCCGACGTGCCTTCAATCGAAGGATTCGACTTGCTCAGAATAGTTACTTATCTTTTATTTCTTATCATTATTTCTTTTATTAACTCTCTCGACTCTGGACAAGCCAGCGTAGGCCGGAGCCGAGCCAGATCGAGAAATAAGAGCCAATCCCGTCCGTACCAGCACCAGTACCAGTAGCTTCAATTTTCAGTCGATACCACGAATCCACCTCTGATTATTCTCAAGAAAGTAACCCTACAAATTGAGCATCAGCTAGAGCTATCATCATTCTCGGGTTTGATTTAGACTGTGGTTTCGCTACCGTTCACGTTCAATCATCTTCCTCTGCTTGCCTCCGCCTCTTATCTCTGACTTGATGCTTCAACTCTACATTTCATTTTTTATTCACCTAAAATAATAATGAATTTCACGCTTGCTGTACACCTGTTCCAGCACCTCGATCTAGAGATTGCTGGAACCTGAAAACCACCTGGGTGTTTATAAGTAAACGCTTTTTGAAGGAAATAACATGAGATTTATCGGCTATTTTGCTTTTTATTTCGGGTAAATATGTGCTAGGGTATCAATTTTGTTCAACTATAATCCAACTATCTTTGATTTGTAACACGGAATGAAGAAAATTGTTAAATTTGCTGTGTAGAATGGTAATTGTTGATCTGTTTGATGGTAACGAGGATTTTTTTTTTCATAATTTTAATTGCCAACTTTAATTATGCTACCATAGTAATCATTTGACATTCACTTACAATTTCAAAAAAATTTATCAACTACCTTTTAGCAATTTATGAAATATATATCACCAACTTTATTAAAAATGAGGGGATTCACTAAATATTACTAATTTTTTCGCTCCACGTATTAAAAAAAAATCAATAAAAAAACTACCTATGACCTATTGTCACTAATGAGTCCAACCTCCGGTCTCATTAATCCCCAGTGATTACCGGGCCCTTTGGAAGCCGGGCAAAGAGGATCAGAATTATTATCGCCGCATTATCCGCGCCCTCCACGGAATTAGATAACTACGATTTGAATGATTGGACGTTGCTCCTATTCGGAGCCCGGCTAACGCTATCGAATAACAGCCAACAGCCGTCTCGATGATCTCTCGTGTGCAGTCCTGTTATTTATGTGCATGAATTACCTGCTGAACATATAGATATAGCAGCAGACAATCTATAATATGTAGTAGGGACGTATTTAATAGGCCGAGAGCCAGACACGGCATCTGGATCACGGTTTTGGATTTAATAGGAAACCCGTGGAACCAGACCGCCGAAATCCGAAATTCGCCTCTGCTCCTGATTAGTCCAAACATGAAATACATACGCTCTTCTTATAATTTCCGACGACTCATCGAGATTCCGTGTGTCCCCTATCATTTAATACCAGCACTGTTTTCATCAGAACACACTTAATTTTTTTTCGTTTATTCACTCGTCTACGTCTACACGAATGTTATTTAACGAAATACTTACCGATTTGAAGGATAATGCTGCTGGTGTGGTTTAATTCCGGACAAGTTGTCACGCAAACTCGTCGTGTCCCACTGAAATGATAATACGTCCTATACCTATTTCGCTCACGCAAACGCTGCAGCGCCAGCGAAATATATATCATTTGCTCATGGTGAATTTTTTTATTTATTTAATTTGGCTTACTTGAAAGTCTATTAGGCCATTCTTTATACATACAATTTAGAATTTAATTTGCCGAAGTCGAATTACAGTTTTTGTTTCGTAGGGGCTTTTATTTTGTTTTATTTTTAGTTTTTTTTTCCACTCTGTTCAGGCTGGTGTGATAAAAGATGATGGAAGAGATAAATAATAAAGTTCTTAAGGTTAATGGCGCCAGCGACACTGCGCTCGGTTGATTCGACATCCGGGTGGATAGTTCGATCCCAGTTCCGCGTCGACGATTATCACCCTCTTAGTGCCTCTGTTTTGCGACTTCCTTTTTCCGCAAACTATTTTCTCAAACAGATCATAAACTTCCATTTCCTTCGTCGATCTTTCGAGCTTTTTTCTCCGATTTGCTTTAATTAAAAAATTCAATCTTTTATCAAAATTAAAAAAAAAATCTATTCATTGATATTTAAAAAATCTATTTAGCTATATTTAATCAGTGTAGGAATGAAAAAAATTAAACAACTTACAAATATTCAGAGTTTCGGCTCTTAATTGGTCCCCTGAAAAATTCATGAACAAGAATCCGAGGCTGGGGAGAGTGTTGGTGGATGAAATTCTCAGATACCAAAATATTTTTCAAAGCCGTCAATCTCTTGAAATCATCAGCGGATCTGACAATCGCGATATCAGCTCTTGGACCGGGTGGTTCAGGCAAAATTGAAAATTTTACTTTCGGTTCGTTCTTTTCGTTGCTCAGCTTTGAAACAAATTCACCCACGTCTTTGATATGTTGGACGGTCCTTGTGAACACTTCGTGCCAAGCTGATACGTCATCTTGCTCTTCAATTTTACTCTTTTCTTCTTTTGGAGGAGTCTCAATATCTATGTCCAAATTTTCTGGTGTTGGAATCATTTTTAGCGAAGAATCAATTTCATTTTCTGGAGCTTTAGGCTTTCGGTCAATTTTAAATGACTCCAGTAAATTAATTCCCCATTTTTGCTTCAATATATACGTTGGTACGTCTAGTTCTTCAAGTTCTGATTTTACAGAAAAGTTGTAACCTCTCTGGCGACACAAAGTTTCTAATTCCACGTCGGAAATCAAAAATTCTCGGCTTTCAAATTGGTAATTTTTGTTTAAGTCAAAATTGTCCAACCATTCTAATGTTCCTCGAGGATTTTCTGAAAGGTAGAATTATTAAACGAGTATTTAAAAAGAATTTCTAATAATATCTAAAAGTTATTCAAAAGTAAAGGCTCAAAATTAATTTTTTTTTTTAATCTTTTAACCCACAAAAATAATCAATTCTAAAAATTATTAGTAAAGGACAAATATTATAATTAGCTTTAATTAAAGACTATTAAATAATTTTTATTTTTAAACACGCATTAAAAAAAAATCGTGACAAATGACAGACAGATTTTTATTAAATAAATAAAAAATTTTAAGTTTCTTACCCAAGCATAAAAATTTTTTAAACTTCTCTAAAACATTTTCACTTTGTTCAAATAATTTCCCAAAATTAAATTTACTAAAAAAACCTTTAACCAAAAAAATTTTTGGCTTCAAACAACCAATTTGGACTGGATTCATACTGGAATTTATCAATTTACGATTACACAAATGAAACTAAAGATAAATCACATCACAACTTTCTATTGTTTCCAAGAAAAATAAACAAAAGAAAAAAACGTTCCCTCAGCGGAAAAAATTTATGACGCATTGACATTAAATAATCGAATGCCGAGATCTCAGTAGTAACTCTGGTTAATGACGAAAACTTTGGGTCCTCAGAGACCAGACTCGCCCCAGTTAATGTCCTTATCTCGTAAAATCTATCAAAAATTGTTGGTAGGAAAAAGGAGAGAAAAACTGAGCCAATATTTTATTTTATCTCGGTGGAACAATTCAGAGTAGGTCACTACATATGTCGTCAGACTTACCAAAGTCGATAATAAAAAGCGCGAGACATAACACAAGAACAAGAACGAGAAAATTCAAGTCGTGGTCATTCGTGCCACGTACTCAGATAACCGTGGATAAAAGTTTAAGGGCGCGTTATCGAGAGAATACGGAGGACATTAAAAAAACGCACGTGTCCTTAATGGTGGTAAGTCGATGCAATTTTAAACGGGCTATTTCCGTCCCTCCCAATCGTTTTTCAGAGGCTGGGAGCTAGAGTGACACATGTCCCCAATGCTGGTACATGAATCCACCGACGCCTCGGGAATACTAAGCAGATAAAAAAATTTGATAGGAATTAAAATTTATCAGTCCAAATATTCAAACGAATAAATTTATAAGCAGTGAGACTGACGAGCTACTCTCATTGAATCGATCTAATTTTTTATTCATTCTATTTACAATCATGGAAGGATTTGTTAATATTTGATGAGCTTTATTAACTGTTAATAAATGCAGTTTTATAACATAAATAATTTATTTAATTATAATGAATCATTTCATTAAAATATAGAAATTAACAGATGATCAATATTTATTGATAGCTAAAAAATAATTATAAAAGGTAAAAAAAAACGTTTATTAAATACAATATATTTTTAATAAATTTAATTTTACCACAAAAAATATTTATCAAAAGTTGAATAATAATAATTAATTGCATTTTTTCCAAATAAATAATTTTATTAAAAAATAAAAAATTATTTTATCAATATATATAAATAATTAAAAATTTTTTTTCTCATAAATTAATTGAATATTAAAAAATTGAATTTTTACTTTTATAATTCTCTAGTAAAAAATATAACAAACAAGAACATTTCTGTCAAGTTATTCCTCAGCGGTCTAAATCCAGGACATTAGCAATAAATTCGTAGGTCCCCAGTGCCAAATAGCGTCATAGTAGTCATAGGGTCGTGCCCGACCGTTCCAATTCTATAAATTGGCTATGACAAAGTTATTGTGTACGACGCGCATCCATTTCTCCTTAGTCTTCATGTCTACCCACACATTCTATCTCCTTATTTATTTCTTCTCATTAATTTCCCCCGCACTGCAGCCCTTATTATTACTCCATCACTTTACTGCCCGGCGTATCGCGAGGTCACATATTTTGTCAAGCCTTGAGGGAGAAACAACAGCCGATAGTTCACCGTGTGAAGGAAAAACCTATAAGACACACGTTCCAGGTGCGTGTTCGCTGCCTACTTCTATTTCTGGTTCTCGTTCGTTTAGGCCTCTCCCTCGTGATCGTTTGAGACATCGTTCCCGTGAGGCCGACGCCAGATACGTGACGCAGAATACTCACCTCGCATCTTAACCTATACTTTTATATGTACTTCTCTACTTACATTCACATATGGCACATACACGGAGAGAATTGAATAGTAAAAATTATCATCTAGTTATTTTTAATTTAACGAATGAAATTTTCTCTGAGTATATGGTCAATAAAATGAAATAAAATAATTTTTTTATTTAAATGAAATTGAAGCGATACGAGAAACCGCGAGTGGGTGAAAGAAATAATTGTCTGAATTTAAAAGCGAGAATAAATAAAAACCGATTGGATGTTGTAAGAGTGTGAATTAGTTAGGAAATACCCGGGGGCTCTATGAAGAGAGTTTACATTCACGAGCTTTTTTCTACCCTTGTGAATAGTCGTAGTACAGCGGCGGTGGGTTCCCAATGAAACCGCTCGTTTATCAGCGACCGACTCGAGTGAAAGCGACACCGAGGGCTCGTACGCGCGACGAATAACAATCTCTACCCCATTCCTGCGCTCGTGTCAGAGAGTGAAGCTCTTTTCTGTAAAACGCTATATATCTGTACTATATAATATGTCTGGAGCGTCCTGTATATCCACTCTACCGCTTAGTTCACAAGCTCTAAGTGAAAGAATCCCCATCGATTTATTTTCGCGGGATCAAATCTAGTATCTGACTTGGGACCTAAATCCTAAGCAGCTTTTAGTTTTATTTTCGTTTTAATCCACTCAAGCGACCCCAATTGACCAACACTTTACTTTAATGTCCCATTGGTTTCAGTTACTTTTAAATTTATTTTGTTTTTAGAAAAATTTGAAAAAAAAAAAAGGTTCAACTATTTGATCAATTACTTACTGAAATCGTGAAAAGGTTCAATTCAAACAAGAAAATTTTTTCTTGCAAAAGATTTCTTCGCTTAGAAATAAATTGAAATAAACCATGAAAATTTATTAATTTTTTTTAACAGAAATATTTTATTACTAAAAAATTATTAAAAATTTTAAATTCTATATTTCTCATTAAAATTTTTAATAATTTTTTTTTTTCTAAAAAAAAAAACAGTAATAAAATACCAGTTGATAATAATAATAGCAATGATAATAATTCAGTGGGACTCTAAATTGTAAATGCAAATGGGAATATATTAAAGGGATTGGGATGTCGGGGTGTCTGATCTAGAATCACTCGCCTCAGCAGTATATCCAATTTGCGTTGGGTCAAGTTGTAAAATTTTTCAAGGGTACGATTTTCCTCGGGCGTATTATATGTCTCGTTCGATAAAATTCTCGTGAGCCAAGAGCCGGCTCCTTGTCGCCCCATTTGGCAAGTGTCGTCGTTGCGCCGGGCTAATTTGTCAGTTGTCGAGTTAGCGTACTCCTGGGGATTCTGGGGACGGCACATCCTCGGCACGAGCGTTGTATAATCAACCGGTGAATATCTGAACTGCTTCGGAAGCTGCTTTTGTGTATACATAGCGGGTAAAGTATCTTGTCTCAAGCTTCACCCCCCGTTCTCGTGCATCTTCATCATCCTCTACTAGCCCATTCCCGTTCCGATAGCTTCTATCCAGCCTTCACGCTCATTTATAAAGAAGAGCCTCTATTCCGTTGGCACGCGATTGATCGTGCCCAGTTTCATCACCGCGGGCCCATCGAATCGCTATTTTACAGTCTCAGGCTTATTTACTTTCAAATCTTGTCGTAAAATTCATATTTTCACCTTGTGAAATTCATATCCGTCTTCCTAAATTGATTGATTTTCATATTTTCATATTTTTATAAATAATGTTGGCAAAAATTTTTTTAAAAATAATTTATATGCAAATTGGTAATAAAATTTTTTTATTGTTTGTTTAAACTAATATTCTGTCTAAAAAATTGGTAAGAACATTTTTAAAAAAAAATTTTGTCCAAAATAATGATAATAAAATGTTTGAAGAAATAAAATGACAAGTAAATTAGCTCGAGAGTAGAAAAAAAAATATTATCCTAGAAAATTATGAGATTTAAAGAAGAGCAACACAAAATTGGAATTGTAATCTAAGAACTGAAAAATAGCGTAGTAAACATAGACGGATATGAAGTAAAGTGTGTCGAGGGGCGAATAGACAAAGCTAATGTAAGCCAGTTGGGTCATATCTCGGTTGTCACATGGCAGGGAAGAATAAGAGCCGTGTTCCGGATTTTCGGGGCTTTGTAGTCATTCATTTCCCGGTGAAACCCCTCGTGTAAATTATTTAAATAAACAAGGATGAGGACGAGGACGAGGACGAGAAAAGGAGTAGTGGAGCAGAGAAGCGCCAGTAGCTGTTCTGAAGATTGGCTGCCGCTATTTGCACATCTCACTCTGATCTGCCGTTCCGTCTCAGTTCCTCATCACGTCAGCTCCAAGCTGTACTGAATTGTGAATTGTGTTGGTGTATCTCAGTGACGAACAATTACCCCCACTGCTATGACAGACAGGGGGCCAAGAATATCAGAGGAGGCGTTCGCCTACTCGTCTAATGAATTTTAAATTGGCTCGCATTTATAATGCGCACTCGTTGACAGTCTTTCACGGTAACCTTTTTCAAATGACGTTGTAAAATTACTCTGTGAATGTATTACGCTTCTTGGATCTACAATATTTCTTTTGAGCGCCTCAGAGCTTTTACTTTTCTTGCAAATCATTTGTTAAAGTCATCTCACAATGCACTGATATGTTAGAAAAAATACTCTCGTAAATAAACTATCAACTTTTTAGTTAGTGTGTTAGAAAGTTGAAAGAAAGTTGTATGAATTTTTGAAATAAAAATTTAATATTAAAAATTAGGAAATATCTGTAAAAAAATATTGTATAGTATAAAAAACACTCTTATAAGTCCATCTGTAATTTTTGAGCAAATATAATTTTCAAAAACTCCGACAGAGGGCGTATGATCGCTGAATGTTCTCAGTACAAGGGAGTTAAGAGTCAAGTTTTATAATAAAAATCATTTTTTGACTATTCTAAGGAACTTTTTTATAATTAATTTTTACTTTAATCAACATTTCAAAAGAAAAATCTCTAACTCAAAATTATAAAACAAATTTAGTTAGCCAGATATTTAATTCAAAATAGCAATTAATTAAATTCTGACGAAGGAACTCTACAAGTTTCTATTTCTCAAGACGCCGAAGGGTAAGCGAAGACAATGACGAATTCAAAGGAAGAGAAAGACAAGCGTTTAGACGTCACCTGCCGGACATTCTGGTGGCGTGCTTTGCGCTCTTCAAATGCCATCATGTAGCAACTCTCATCCGACGCCTGTTTCCCGTCGGACACATTCCGGATTCCAAGACGTTCAATTGTACTCTGACAGATTTCCCGGCGCAATCCACCGAT